GCTCCGTTGCAGTTTACACTTGACTGTACAAAGGCTAGAGGTGCACTCTCGAACCAAGATGCTGCACGACGTTGGGTTCACTTTTTGTTTCCAACTCTCACGGAGCTTCATGATCGTTCATGGAGGTGGCATATCCTCCCTAAGTGGTTAACCACAGTAGAGTAAAGTAAAACGTGATGCGACACTACGACGGTGTGCTGAGGGGAGGAGATGTTCGCTCTTTGGGGGTTCAAGGGATATTCAGGCAGCACTGTGTCTGGTCCTTCGATATAATAATAAATATTATCAAGTTGTTCGAAATTCTCAGCCTAACCCATTCAACTAGCCGCTTCTAACATTTTCCCAGCGTACCTCACTTAGAGAAAAAATTACTTAAATTATTATTTGGCCGAGATTGTCTTCTGATAGATAACGACATTTATCTTGCGTCCTTTTTGCCTATATGTTGTTGCTGGCGGACCCTCGCATCATTATGAGTTTTTAGTTTGTATCGCATAATAAGCACTGCCCTGCAGTCCACTTCACTGGGTTTGATGACCGTGTTGGAAAGTATCCCAAGGACCCTTCTTGGGCTTAATGCTGTCATCCTTCTTCGAATCTGTTGTTTGATAAACTCAATAATACTTTTCCCTGCTCGAGATGTACTTTTTTCTCAATATGCTGTGCGATTAAACGCCCTGGAAAGTTTGAGCAACCAAATGTAATCTGAATGCATGTACGCAGATAATGAGATTACCACAAAGTAGTTGAATTCAACGCATCCTGTGATCATGGTGCTTCGTTTTGCTCTCATGAAAATGTTAAAGAGAACTGGTTGCATGTAATAGGGGCAGAAATTTACCGCCTTATCGCTTTCCTTCATCGACTTTCACATTCCTTTGTTTTTCAGTTTAAGGATTCGTATTCAAGCAGAGATGGTTGATAATAGCTGCTTTTGGATCATCAATGCCGAACCGAAAATTGTTTTATTCCCATAATTTATATGGTTCTACAAATCTGCGATATCTTTAGGGTTATTGGTATCTCTGTCACTAGAAGTAGTAGGCTACTACAAGTTTGCAGCTGGCGAAGCTATATGTCACCGGGCCTGTCTCCTGGTCGCGGGGAGAAGAACAGCTATCAAATTGGTGGTTGATTGTAAGTGTGACTAGCTCCCGCTGACCACGACCGCGAACAAACGACGGGAGCTTCGAAAGATGTAGGTTTTCGTTTGTCAAACGCACTGCCCCTTATAAAACCTCACGAGGGTCTGACGACCATACTGTTATGTGGTAGTGCGACCTGTCAATAATAAGACTGCAGGCCTTTGTCCATTATTATCAATTGTTTAAAATTTGCCAGAGAGGAGGAAGGAAGTAATCAAAAGCTGGTCACCGGTTTGTTTGGAATGACCCTGCAATTTCCGCTTAGATATACAACTACCCAACTTCGAAACCGATATATTTTGTAGCAGGAAATCGTCACGTGAAAGTTAAACAACAACGAGTGTTCGATAGAAGTTTATAACTTGTAGTTCATACGAAACAGAAAATTAATTGCAAAAACAAATAATGTTACATGTCGTCAGTTTAGGAAGAATAGTTTCTAATATCCAAGATTCTCTCCAAACCATCCGAATCATATTTGATCAAAGACAGTGGAATGTGTAATAGAGAACCGGTTGAGTGTGATACTCATCGTGTCATTCTATAATGATTCGAATACTTGGTCCCCATGTCTCAGATCATTTGAAATATTATGCATTGAGTTAGCTCTACTTTGGCCACCCTCTCCCCTGGGATCCGTTTTCCGTCCCGTCCAAGTAACAATCAACTTTCTTTCACAGAAGTTTCAGTGCTTTCCGTGGTATCTTCCAAAGATGATCCTAATCCTTGAATCTCAACATTTACCAGATTGCCACAGATGTCTACTCCATTTCATACGTGACCATTCCTATACTCGTCTCAATGGTACTCTCTTTATTGATACGGGAAATTAAGACTGTCTAACTGCTTTAGAAAAGGAAAACTGTTTTGACTTTTGTCTAAGCAATCGCTCAAGCTTGATGAGCACTGGGTGAGGATCAAGTAATGGGATAATTAACACGATATCGAGGCCTTCGCATTTGGACATGGTTTGGTATTTCGATCATACTCGCAATCGCTGCGACTCGGCCCGCTTGTTTCCCTTGGTGTAGTCGTCCATGGATGCAGGGGGTGTAGATCTTAGTCGTGGGCTATTCTATCACGTTCTTTCTTTTGTTATCTGATTTTTGCTTTATCTATCCATACTCATTTCTTTTCCCCTGGTATTGGACTTCTGTTTTTATTTTGGTCGGCCTGTAAATAAGAATTACCCACTTCAATCCCAGATGAACGGATTGGACACACACTTAAAATAGTACTAGTAGGAGCAATCTCTTATTTATGGTGATAGAGCCAGATTGTTTTCAGTGCGATCATTGAAAGACGAAGACGACCTTTTTGAGGTGAGCTTCTTTCGTACAGATTGGGTTGTAAAATCCACCGTCCCTGGACGACGGATATAAATAATACTGGTGAACTCTAACAAGAGCGAAACTCTAATTTGCTGCTTTCCGATTGTGTTTGACTGAACAATCTGATAGTTTTGTGTGAAAATGAAGTTGGAACAACAGTCTATCCAATCAAAACAGCCTAACCCGTACCACTACTCACAAATAACTATGAATCGTGAATGTCAGTATGCAACAAATAACGATTGTGAGTGGAAAATAGCAGTTGACCCTATTGTGTCTTAGTGAATTTCGTCATGGCTTATGATTTTACAAAACTGCCTCAAGCTTGACTGTAAACCAATTAAATACGAGTACATAATAAATAAATGAACCTGTTCGATCTGAGTATTGCTTATCGTATGTCAGTGAAGTCTACTGAAAATAGCCCGATGAACAAGTATCCGGCTGCTCATTTTCGATTTCCATTTATGCCAGTTAGACTACTATTAGCTTCCATCTCCTAACAATTGATTTAGGAACAAAGAATGTATTTTCAAATGATAATTTCCGAAGAATCGCCCCCCGCCCTTAAATGAAGTATTTTTCCATTAAAGGTATCTTCTGATTAACTCAGTTATTCCTTATTGTCATTGGTTGTTTTTCCAGGGCGAATCAAAAGGTTGATCGAAGCTTCTCCATCACATACAGATTGGTGTCGCATTCAGAGTCTCTAGGCTGACAAAGTATTGAAAAACCGCTTTCTTAGCCGCGTGAACTGAATTCCATTTCGCCCAGCTTGTTCTTGTGAAGGCGTCATCTCGGCTGGTGGTGAGACGCTTGCAAAAAATACTGCCACGCTCGGAAAACTTGCGAAAGGAATTCACTTTCTGATCTGATTATTCCCAATGTCAAAGAGTAGATGACTCACGGAACTAAAACGATTTGGTCACAGAATCTTTTTATTCGGCAAGCACAGAACAAGTACCGATCGATAAAACATTGGATTGATAGATGCTCGCGTATTGAATAGAAGGGTTGAGGAGTCACATGCGACTTGATAAACCTAGACTGTTATCAGGCACAGTTTCATGTGGACTTGGATCTCAATTCAGTCCCATCAACACTGAATATGAGCAATTAGGCTGAGTAATCTATAATCATTCACAAAAATATATTCTCCTCTCACTCACTCACACCGGACTTTGATCAGCCCTAGGCATACATAAATGGCTCATCGCAATGTAGTACATTCAGTTTTCGTTCATATTCCGCATTCGTCGGAATGCACTGTTACGCTTTTGTTTCCCTTTCAACTTACTATATACAACAAGTGTGTTTGTACCGTTATGTTGTTCCATTCCGGTGTCATGAGTGTTAGCTCTGAGGAACGTGAATGAACTCCACCCCCCCCCTCAACCAACCAACCACAACATACCGTAGACGCTTTGATTGCCGTCAGTTCGATGCAACGCTTCCACACACCTCACTCCCCCAGGCCAATTGGCTTTCGACTTGATTCAGCGAATCGAGTTTTTATTTCTTACTTGATGAGAGTGCAATGCAACAGAAATAGTACCAGTGGGAGAAGTCGATTGCCATAGATAAATCGCGTTACGGAAATTGACTCCGGGCATCGCTTGATATGTTCAGCAGCCAGGGTTAGGTGATTAGGTTGTACAGTTAGGTTCGGTAGCCGCGTCGATCTGTTTTGGTCTTATGTGCAATGCGTGTGTCTTGTGTCCCTGTCAGGACCCGAACCTTCAGGTCTAAGCTGTAATCCTTGAGGCATAAAGTCGACGAACATCACCTAAAAGGAACGGTACCAGCAGATGACGACGTTGTGTGCGGACGCGTTTACTCGTTTCTGACAAACACTCAATACTGTGTGTGATTTTCGTGAGCTCCTCCGTGATTAAGACTTTTAATTCTTCGGAGTTTGTTTATTCTCCACATGCGAAACAGGACGGGTTCGCGATGGGAAAAGACTGCGCACGACTTACGCATCCCAGTAAGAAACGAAATAGTTGTCCAGTTAGTTCTCTTTGCAGTCCATCACTTAAAAATTTCCATCGCAAAGAAGCTACGTTTCACAAGTGGGAGGTAAAAAAACTGCTGTTTGCACTGATCCGCCGCTGTGCCAAGTATCTGTGAAGACTGAATAGGCCCATCCAAATAATTCGTTCGAAACATATTCACCATACGAATGAGATTCTGTGGTGATGACTAATTCAACCAGTCAGTTTGTCCGATGATTAGATGACTGTCGTTTTCGATGAAATGAAGTCAATATAAAAATATTCTGACTACGTAACGACAAGAAAGATGATGAGGCTTTTTTGCCTTGAATTATATACGAATAGGTATTGGGATTTCATAAAAGTTTTGGATATTCAAATGTGACGATGATCGAAAATTTCGTTTAGGACTTGTTTTTCGACCGATTCCATCCAGTCTATAGAGAATGATTGTCACCATCTTTAAATTAATTTTCAGCTCGGGGCTCACCACATCTTTGGTATTCGTTCCAGTATATCTAGAGAAATTCATGCTTAGGAACTATTCACCCTTGATACAGACCCTGTTGGGTACGGGATTGACATGGGCAGTGACCGCTCTGGGAGCCGCGTTCTGTGCCTTTCAGACCTCAAAAACCGGTACGCGCAAACAAGTAAGTTGCTTTACATATAAACAACATTTGGTGTGCACTTCACGTGTTGTTTAACGTTTCATGACATGACTTACTGGCCAGCAGGGTTATTCTCTCGGCATCTTATCTCTATTTTCTCCCAAGCTTACTGAATCTGGGATGGAAAATACCTTCGATATGCGTTCAAAGAAATGGAAATTAAGATGTATTGCCCTCTTTTACCTCGGTGGGTTATACTAGTTTTAGCTAAGCGCACCTGGTCACTTGTTTTTCATTCCACTTGCATTGGATTCCTTCTCTTTCTGGTTTGTCCAGTTGACGTATCTCTACCTGGCTGACAATCTTGGAATTAGATGTGAACCCTGATTCCCTAATGAACTAGTGATTAGGACTCCAAGGAAGAGATCTTGATTTGGTTTTCAAACGTTGACCACAAATTTATGAATTCAGTTTTCGTCAGGTGGCGCTAATCCCTGTTTCTTGGTCTCGTCAATCTATTTTAGAACATTGTCGATTTGGTCTTACAGGCTCTATTCAGATAATTATTTACCTCAGTAATATCATTTTGCTATCTACAACAACATTAAGCCCCAACCGATACACACTGCGATCAATGTAGTGGTATGTGTTACTCAATGTTCGTTTAATTACGCTAATTGGCAGTAGACATTCGATTAAAATGTATGCTTTAAATTTACTACTCGCAAGTAGCTTAGTTTTACTTGTGGCATTTTCACGAAAATGTAAAAAGGTAAACGGCCCTTTTTTATTTATTCGGTTTTAGTGACATAGGTGTTGATAGTTAATTTTTATTACACATTCTTTGTTTTTTTAATAAAAGACTCTTACGCATTTATCATAAAAGTTTTATCACGCATTGCTGTACTTTTCAGGGTCAACTTTTAGATGTTAGTCTCGGATTTTCAGCTGGGGTAAGTTTTTATATCTACTTGTGTTGTATATTATGCTCATTTTAACCTAGGTTTTGTCGCAAAACATTCCGAAAGTGTTTATGGTTTATTCCACCCCCGATTATTACTGATAACTGTATTTATTCCAAAACTTTACAGTTTTGTTGATAAAAAGCCGTTGGGAAACGATTGTTTCCCCAGCATGCCTTTACAGCTCCCTTAGTTAAAGAAAAAGTTTATTTTAAAATCTTCATGAGCATGACCAAAAGTCCGTCAAAACTATGTTTGCTCTCCACCGCTGGTTGTGAATGCGAAGACGGATCTTTTAAAAATTCGGAATGGTTTTCTTATCCTTGTTCACTGGGGGTGACAGTAACCACTCCAAATATCTCCTCTCATTGATTTCAGACTGATGTATGCAAAAGCTAATTGTTCCTTTATTCTCATTTTTTCCACGTAGGTGATGCTTGCAGCCTCCTTCTGGTCTTTGTTGGATCCGGCTATTGTGATAGCTAAGAATGAGTTGCGCATGGGTGTGTTCTCCGTGGTCCCAGCTACAATGGGCTTAGTGGTTGGTGCTGCCTTTGTCGGTTTGGCAGCACATTTTCTTCCCGCCGAGGTAGGTGTGTATGTGTCTGTCTTTGTACACGCACGTTTCCGCGCTCTTCTTTGTTCCCTAAGGCGTAAACGATATCTTAGCAATAGAAAATACGACTGAATATTACTCTTTCAGATGAACTCCCTAGTCGCAATTGGGATTTCTAGGTTGATGGAATATGTGTTTTCTCTAAACTTTGTTTGTATGGATCAAACGATGTCCAGTTTTCAGGCATCAGTCTTTTATCTCCCTAGTTAAAACCAAATGGTCATTTCTGACGTGACCTTTTGAGTTGTTGCAACTCTGGCAAACTGGAAGCGATTGATGCATTCGATATGGGTAACACTGGTCAACACCAGTTACCCGTTATGAGTCACGACCTTAGTGATTGATAATGCCCATCATTTGGTGCCATAATGTGATTCACGAAACAAGTCCAGTGCTCGAAACTAGGATCTAGATCAACCCTGGTCGTTGTTGTGACGGTCTCTGACGATACGACTATCCAGTGTCCTTGATACGCTAGCAACCGGAACTAGTCGTGCCTCAGCTGTAGCTCATCTGGAATGCCGGTCGTCCGGGGTACAATGCTTTGAAATCGTATTCGTGAAATGGACAAGCATTTTTGTTCTCCATGTTGTACATAATTGTCCCAAACGGAGAGAACTGGGTTCGTTTGATAAACTGGTATATATTTTATGAGCTATCACTGCAAACACCTCATTTCTGACTTGCATCCGACTAGCAGTTGATACCACTGAAGAGTAGAAATCGCCGGTCAACTACACACAAAAAAGCCGGATAAGTATACCATTGCGTTTCTGGGGAGTGAGTAAATTCAAATTCAAATTTTTATTATGGGATATAACTTACAAAGACTTCGCTTTTTCAAATCCCATAGGGTGTTTACACTTTGGTTCGGAACACGATTCACAATGTCACACACAGTACATTCATGAAATTACAGTAGTAAGGTAATGTTTTTGACGTGCACAGGAGAATATATTATGTAGTTGAATGTTATGTAGTTGATGTTGAAAAGCAATGATTGCCAGTGCATCATCAAGCTGACGCTTGAAAGATACTAATG